GGAAGGTGTAGTGATATGTGGAGTTTAATTTTTGGGCTGTGTTCTCTTTAGGCCTTTGTATAGATCCATCGGATAACTCCATTGTGAACTTTGTATCTCTAACCTTGTTATATATATTTCAACTTAGATGCCAAAAAAAAATCTTGGAAGATCTCTTATATCTATTTATGTATTATATAATATCTTTATCAAATATATCTCGAAATTTTTTTAAATTTATTTTGATTAAATAAAGCCATGCGATAAGGATGAGAGATCATCATCTTAATCAGGGACGGTTCTGAGGGTGAGCAGGGTGTGCAACTGTACAGAGCCCACCAGTTTTTTTAATTTTTTTCTTTTGCATTTTAGAGCCCAACATTATTAAAAAGTTACAAAAAAGACCCAATATATTTGAAAAAAAAATATTGGCACAGGCCCACAAATTTAATGAGCCGCCCTGATCTTAATCTCCTCCGCTAACTGTCAAGCCTGTCTTCTCAGCAGCTAACATAGAAGAAGAGTGTATAGTTGTTAAGTATGGAACCCTAGTTTGCGACGCAAGAAACATGTCAATCCTCTTCATTTTTTCTGCTTTAATTCTCACAATCTCACCTATAATAACAAATCTTAAGAATAATTTTTTACATACGAGGTTTGGTTTTGTTTCAAGGCTTGAAGATTATCACAAAGCAACTTTAGGGATTCAACAGATTAGAAATTTGGTCCCATTTTCAAAACCAAAAATCTAGAGCTACTGCTTCAACCATATACATATGAATAATATAATAAGGGACCGGGTTCGGAGTATTTCCACAAGTAAACATCAAAAGGCATGCCTATATCAACAAGTCCATGCTCGTCGTAAGCCTGGATATAGACGTGGTTACGGACTAAAAGTGAAGAGTAGCTAGCAGGGACACAGAAAGGTTCGGGGACTTTGAGAGAAAAATGCAGAGATCTCCAATGTCTCGAGTGTAAACCGCGTTTCCTTGTTCGTCTAACTTGAACACCATCATAGCTTTTGTTCTCATTTTTTTCCTGTACCACTTAACCATGAAAGTTTCACCTCCTGGTTGTCGTGACTCCACCAAATGTTCACTCCTGTTACAAGAATCCAAAAACTCCCGTTTGGCCTTTGTCAACTTGGGAACGTTTTGAAATCGCAACTTTTGCAACTTGGGTTTGTACATGTTTTTGTGGAGATCCCATGATCCAATTATGTGACTTCCAGAAGAAGGTATGCGAAACATCTCATCTCTCTTGGAATACATGACAGGGGAAAGGAAGAAGAAGGAGTCTTTGATTTCGATGTTGATCCATTCGGAGTTACTTTGTGCCGGTCTACATAAGCTGAGTTGTGGTCCCAAGAACTTGATAGCCACAATACAGTCTTCATCCTCAGGAGAAGACGAGGACATGGCCATGTTGGTGACGATTTGGGTTTGGCAATGAGGTAGAGTTACAAGAGGAGGCAATGAGATGCGTTTCAGGTTTGTATCCGATGCGCTTGGACTTAGATCATCTTGGAGACGCACTACACCGTCTTTCAATGTAGCTACCCATCCATGAGATGCTCCTATAATTCTCTTTACCTCAACCAACTCTAGAGGAGCCTTCTTTTCCAAAACCTTAATGCAAAAACCATTGACAATCACGAGTTTTCCGACATCCGGTCCACAAGGTTGAACGTCGAAACTACAAATGGAGAGATCAGCACCGAGGAAGATGAGAAGCAACGAACACTAGGGTTTCTCTGAGTTGTTGTAGTAGTCAGACATCAGAACATCATAAAAAGAACAAAATGTGATTGGCGAGAGAAGAAAAGAGTAGCTTACAAACACAGGTTTCCGGAGGGAAATCATCGAGGGCAGGCTGAGAAGCAGAGGAGACATGAGTGTTCTTAGCGAAGGGTAGATCCAAGAAACCCTAATTGAAGAAAATGGTAACATTTACAATCTTCTCCAACCTCATTAATACGGAGGAATAGATTTGCCAACCAAGTTTTCAATAAGGCCTAATTACATGGCCAAATAAATCCCACCAAATCTTGTAAAAAAAGAAAGTGATACAAAAGAATACATTTGACATTTTGTGTTTTGTTTCTAAGGCTTGAAGATTATCACAAAGCAAGGTAACAAAGCATTAGTACTCAACAGATAAAGCTCTTCAATTCTAGAATTGGGTCCCATTTTCAAAGCCAATGAATCAAAATCAGAAAACTCAAAAGGATCTTCAAACTTCTGCATAGGTTTATGAACTCTCCCTGCAATGACTCTACATAGCACAACAGCTTTCAATGAATCTCTGTTTCTTCCTCGGTCCATTTCGATACATTCAAGAGCCGTAGAGTTAGTTGATGCTGTGAGAACTCCTTTAATCCCATCTGGTCTTGTTTTAGAACTAAAACCATGTCTTAGAATCCGACAAACTCCACATTGATCCGACAAACAGAGGTTTGAAGAAGAGATGTTGCTCAAACCGAGAGAGCAAGAAATAGTTGTACCGTGAAACCCAAGAAACTCGTTCCCATCAGCCATACAGCGAGAGTGTTTCTTAGAAAGCTTGTTTGCTCTTATTTTCACGAGTTCTCGGTAATCTTCAAACTCTGCAACAACTCTCTGCAAGTTCTGGACTTTCAAAATCGCCGATATGTTGTTGTTCCCTTTCGTTTTGCCTCTATTGCAGATCAACTCCACAGTTTTTCTTGAGAAGTCTCCTGCTAAGAGTCTAGTGACTGCCAAAAAAAAAGTCAAATTCTCGTCAAGACATTGGCCACAAATCGATG